GCTTGTGTTGTGGGGATTGAACCACAGCAACCTGAGCCTGACTGCTTTGTTGAAGCAGCCACTTAAAGAACTGAGCTAAGGGGCAGGCCCCCGAAATAAGGAAAAGGGAATAAAGAAAAACTTTTACTCATAAGAATTAAAACTCCAGTGCAAAGGAAATAGTTGTATAATACTGAATTTTTCTGTAAGAAAACCACTCAGTCTTGACTATGGCTACACAGTAAGAATTAACTCAGAAAGGTTACCTCTAAAAAGCGAAACATCACAGACAAAACATTTTTTGTATGAGGACGAAGATGTTCATTGGTTGGTATTCTATGAATTATTTCAAGTACTAGCTTCCGCAGTTGCTGGTAAGGAAAAAACGGAAACAATGAGATAAAATGCATCAAAGAGTTGTAATTGTCTCATATTTTACATGTATCATGGTTACCCAGTACCTAATAGTAACCACCACAAAAATCAGATGAATCCAATTTGAGCTGGAGTGTGATGGTGTACACATATAATCCCAGTTACTTAACAGTTAGCCTGACCAACTAGAAAGGACTTGCTTCAAAATAAAATTAAAAAGGATTCAGGATGTACCTCAGTGGTAGAGCACTTGCTTAGCATATGTAAGGCTCATGTTCAATCCATAATACCACACACCAAAAAAACAACAACAACAACAAAAAAAAACGTAGATGGATCTAACTTTACAAAGACTCATGAATTACTCAAATCTAATCCAAAATACATACTGAAAATTATTTTCAGTATTTCTACAACTGTGTACCAAAATCAACTGAACACTTCACAATTAACTAGTATTTCCACCAAAAAAACAAATGTGCAAATACAGAATATACTTAAACTGAAAAGGGCAAAACAAACTGAATTTGTTTTACTTTTTGAGACAGGGTCTCACTCTGTAGTTCAGACTGTCCTTGAACTGATGGCAATCCTCCAGCCTCAATCTCCCAAACTGCTGAGATTACAAGTGTGCACCACCATGCCCAGTATCAAACTGAATTTATAAGTTCCCCCTTACAATCTCAGTTTTGCATCCATAATGCAATCTCCAATTATTTTGGACCTAAAGACCAGTTATGCTGGGGATACAGCTCAGCAGCACAATGCCAGTCTGGCAAGTGTGAGGTCATTAAAAAGTTGCATCATAAACTGTATTAAGGGGTCAGGGAAATAGCTCAGTAGAATAAGCGCTTGCCTGGCAAGCACAGCGTCCTGAGTTCAATCCCCACTGCATTAAGCTTTCATGATTCTGTCCGTGGGGCTGACATCTAAAATGCAGGTCAGATAAACAACTTTCTGAACTGGTACAATATAAATATACTTCAACTAGCAATATTTCACTGGTGGTACAGTAATTTTTAAAAGTTCTTTTAAAGATAGGCTAGTTTAAACAGTTACAAACAAATGGTATAATAGCATTGCACTAGAATGATCAAGTAAGGGAGAGGAGTGTGAAGAGTACGGTTGTACAGATAAAATGAAACTGACCATGAGTTTAAAACCTAAAATTAGGGCTGGGGAGATGGCTAAGTGGAATAAGCACTTCCCCGGCAAGCGTAAAGGCCTAAGTTTAATCCCCAGTTCTGCCAAAATAAAATAAAACCTAAAATTAGTAAGATTAGTGTTGGTTGTGAATGTGGGGGGTGGTGTCATTAAATCATTAGTCTTAGCATACATTTGAAGTTTTCTGTTATAAATAATGTACACAGGGCCAGGGAGATGGCTCAGTAGAATAAGCGCTTCCCTGGCAAGCGCAAGGGCCTGAGTTCAATCCCCTGTTCTGCCAAAACAGACTTATATTGGGCTGGGGAGATGGCTCAGTAGAATAAGCACTTGCCTGGCAAGCACAGGGCCCTGAGTTCAATCTCCAGTACCACAAAAATA